AGTTCGGATATAGTTTACACGTGGTCAAACTAAATCTTAACCAAGAAACTGCAAGAAGGCAACCCAAGAGATCTACCATACTGATTCTGGCAGCTTGTTTATCCACCAGAAGAAGCACTGTGCATTTGCTGGGCTTTCAGAAGATGACATCAGTTGTGTAGGCTTTTGTGCTACTTTTTTTCTTACAGGAGGAACCCTGAGATTTCAAGTGTAGAAACCATTTCACAACAGAAGCATAAATACTCTGAAATTGTAAGCAGCAGTGTGAGTAACACGACCTCCCTGTTTTGGGCTCATAGATACTTTACAGGTAATTCACAGTTTTTCATAAATAGATTCAAATAGATTGACAATTTTGTTTCTTTAAGTACAAAGGTTATAGCATGGATCCTCACCCATCCTAGCACTCTGTCCCCTCAACAAATTGCAGCATATTCTTTCCTCTCTGAGTCCAGATGGTCACATCGGACCTGAATGTATGGCGTCAAAAATCAGATCTTTAGCATCACCTGTACAAAAGAAAATATTCTACTGCAGGATCTACTTTCCTCACTTCCCTTACTGCGACTAACGTCAACAGGACCTACAGAGATGAGGAAAGTTAAGAAACTAGTGATATTGCAAGGGGCAGAGCAGGCAGGAACGACAACATGAGGAGCCCAAATTCAGCTCAGTTTGGTAACTGAAAATCCCCACCAAATTCCTTATCTCATTTTAAGCCAGGATTAGGCTTCAGTTTTCCTTTCTGTAAAATGAGGATCATACCATGCCTTATAGACCATGCTGTGATGCTTTGAAGATTAAAAGTGTAATCAACATTAAAGTGAATTAAATCTCAAAGGGATCAGACATACATATGCAGACACACACACACACACACATGCATACACACACACACACACACACACACACACACACACACACACACACGACACAGTAATAACGCCACTGGCTTTCCTAGGAGACAAAAGTTGAGCGCAGAGTACATTTGGTCTGGTTTCTTTGTGAAGTATTAAAAGAAGTTGTATAGAATGGCTGCAAGAAGAGCCTGAGATTTCCTAATGTGGTTGGGATCCTCTGTGAAACATTCCAAGGATTTAAAGCAATTTCAAGGAAGCTAGAGTTCTGGAAACAACAGAGGACACAAGGAGAAAAAGGATAGCAGCAAAATCCTTCCACTGCCCGAGAGTCTGGGAAAACATCTTGACTTTGTTTCAGATACACCTGAGACTTCTAGGGCAACAAATTGGAAATCACAGCTCCATCAACAAGCACCAACTTGATATTTTTCAAGCTTGTTTTCTTTTTTCCTTTCTACAACTCAGACAGGTTTTTTTTTCCCCTAGCAGAACGGCTAGACTAGGTAATCCACATAAGCAGCTGCTGCAATGTGATCTTTTTCTAACATTTTAATGTAGAGCTGTGAACTTTTCTGGCTTTGGGGTGTGTTGAAACCATTTAGAGGAAACTTTCTTGATTTAAAGGTTCTTACTGTTAGGATTCTCTCTGATCTTCTTCAGCTAGAGGGCCTGTGCTGGTAAATAGACATTTATGATGCCACATTATGCTGGAAATGAGAAGTGACTGATGGATATCATCTTTAAACACTAATGCTGGTGGAAAATTTGTCAGTTTCCTTACTTTTATTTTGATTAAGTATAAGAGCATGCTATCTAGGTTCCAGCATACTTACTCTTCTGTTGGGGAAGTTGCCTGGATGGGTAACCCAACTTGTATTGTGCTAGATAATTTCTCTAGCTTTGATATCTGACTGTTGGGGCTCCACCCCCAGCCCCACACACCACTAGCTGCATGGACTTGAACAAAGCGCCTCATCGCCACATCTCAATGTCATCATGTTAGCAGTTGGGACACGGATGTGTCTAACTAGCACACAGGTGTTTCCTGCATTAAGAGGGGAAAAAATAGAAGTGGTTAATAAGAAAGATATACTAACCATTCATTAAATGTTAATCTCAGATCCTTGAATTAAAGGAATCATTAACACCATGAGAAATCACCTATATTGTATGACACATTATTGATTATTATGGGGACACATGGAAGACAGAATTCAAATTGAGGCTTTTAATACAGAACCTTACAGATAATGTGATAAAAACTTTGAAAATCTTGGTGAATTACTTCAATGAGGAGTGGCATTTCTCAAAAATCAGTGATCAAGTTTTCATGATTTTAGGGGAGGCAAGATTAGCTACTCTCCTCCATTTGATGAAAGGTGTGGACACAGTTCTCTACATGCAAGCTATGGGTAGGGCATACTTTTTGGCAGAGCTTTGGTGTCACTCAATTCAAATTCCCTCCCTGTCCTCCAACTGTCACCATAATAATCATTAATGTGTCATATAATATAGTTTATTTCTCAGGGTGTTAATGAGTCTTTTGATTTAAGGACCCAAGATTAACATTTAGTGAATGGGTAATATATCTTTTGCATTAACCAATTTTATATATTTTTTCAAGTCCTTGCTTTTTCTGTTTTTATTTTTAAAGAAAGTGCAAAGTAGAATTACAACAAAAACTATATTGATACAGAATTTCACTTAACAAAGTAATATGAATTCCACAGTATTTGTAATATATAGTGTTGTCTTCCAACCTATTATTCATATTACCAGATATGTACATGTAAAATTGGAATAAAAAAGACAAAAAAGAAAGAAATGTATAAAAAATTAAGAAAACAAAAAAAACAAACAATTTAAAAAGGAGATAAAACAAATTAAAGCATTAACTGCTTCTTTCCACAGACCAGCAGAAATGCACAGTACAGCTGTGCAAACCATCCTGCTTACATACATAACTATCTCTCTTTTCCCCACTCCCTCTCCTGTCCTTCTCCCCAACTCAGTAACTCTTTCCTTTTGAATAAGTTCATGCCCTTTTACCAGTGTCTATTGTACCCTTCGGATTCCATTTTTCTCTTTCAGGTTCTCACACTAAGGAAACAATACAATGTTTATACATGTGGGTCTGATTTATTTCATTTAAGAGTATGTTCTCTAGTTGCATCCATTTACTGACAAAAGACTGAAATTTATCCTGTTTTATAGCTGAATAATACTCCATTATGTAAGATATCACATCTTTATTCATTCTTTAGTTGATGGGCATCTGGGTTGTTTCCTGGATTTAGTTGTAACAAATTGCACTGCTATAAACATGGGTGCACATATATCGCTGTAGTATGAGGTTTTCAGTTCCTCTGGAAAAATATCCAGGAGGAGTATAGCTAGCTTGAATGGGATCTCCAATCCTAGCATTCTAAGGAATCTCCACACTGATTTCCATAGTGGTTGTACCAGTCTGCACTCCCACCAACAGTGCAGAAGTGTTCCTTTTCCTCCACGGCCTCTCCAGTATATGCTATTGACTGCCTTCTTGATGTTAGCCATTCTTTCTGGGATGCAATGGAATCTAAGTGTTGTTGTAATATACATTTCTCAAATAACCAATTATGTTGAACTTTTTTTCATATATTTACTTGCCATTGTACTTCTTCCTCTGAGAAGTGTATGTTCATCTCAGATGCCCATTTTTGGATTGAGTCTTTGAATTTGGGGGCCTTGATTTTTTTCAATTCTTTGTATGTTTTAGATAGAAGGTCTCTGAGGCTATGCAGCTATAATTTTTCTCAGTGTGTTGGTTTTCTTTCTACTCCATTAGAGATTTGCTTTGAAGTGAAGAAACTGTCCAAAAAGATGAGATCCCAGCTGTTGATTCTTCGAACTATTTCCCATGCAGTTTGATTTTTGTTCATGAACTCTGTACCTACCCCTATGTCTTTAGGATTTCTACCTACATTTTCCTCTAGAAGATTTAGTGTTTCTGTTTTAATATTTAAACCTTTTGTCTCTTTTGACTGAAGCTTTGTACATGATGATAGGCATGGACCTAGTTTTAGCCTTTAACATGTGGAAAGCCAGTTTTTCCTGCACTATTTTATTAAAGAGGCTATCTTTCTTCCAGTGAGTCTGTTTGACCCCTTTATCAAAGATAAAGTGACTGAGTGTGTTTGTAATTGTATCTGCATCTTCTGATCTGTTCCACTGATCCTCAGGTCTGTATCTATACCAGCACCATGCTGATTTTATCACAGTAGCTTTATAGAATAATTTCAGGTCAGGGATTGTGGTATTTCCTGCCTTTCCTTTGTTTCCTTTGGATTTCTTTTTATATTCTGGGTCTCCTATGGTTCCAAATGAATTTGAGAAAAGTTTTCTCTAGCTCTGTTAGGTATACTAATGGTATTTTGATCAGGACATCATTGAATCTGTATAGCAATTTTGGAAGTATGGACATTTTTACAATGTTGAATCTTCCTATCCAGGAGCACAGAATATTTTTCAATTTTCTCAAATCTTCTTCAATCTCTTTTCTCAGAGTTTCATAGTTTTAAATGTAAAAATATTTTATGTCCTTTGAGAGATTGATTCCTAAGTATTTCATTTTTTATATGTCATTGTGAAAGGTGTAGTTTCCCTAATTTCTCTCTCAATATGTTCATTCTTTGTATACAAAAATTCCATTGATTTGGGGTATTAACTTTGGGTTTTTTTTGGGGGGGTAAAAACTTTTATTTTTTATTGAATAGGTCATCAACAACTTCTCCCTCCCTACAACTGGAGTTTCATTTTATGTCCATGCTGAGTAATGAACAGTGACAAAGCCAATTAAAATAAGCTACTTGAAACACAGCTCACTTTCTTTTAACAGGCAACTATAGATACATTCTAGCGTATACAATGCTTTAGTCACTTAGAAACTTAAATGGCAACTTGAAGAATGTAGTCAAGTCCAGGGTGCAGTAAACATCAGCTGAGATGTAGTATAACTCTTTAAAGGTTATTGATACTACATCCCTTGGCCATTAGCTGAATCTCAATGTGGAGGAAATTTTTAGCTAATGCCAAGTGGAGATGCAGAAAATACTATTTTGTCTTAGGGGTTGTGCACAGGAACCACAAGGCAGGAAAGCACTAAATACTGCTGAGAGCATCCACTCCAGGAAGGACTTTACCTTCTAGGAGCTCTAAACTGGCACCACCCCCAGTACTCACATGGCTGACTTTATCCTCTGTGTTCCATTTGACACAGCAAGTAGCAGTGACTCCACCCACTGTGATGGTGATGCAGCCCCTGGAGGTGGCCTTCACCACCTCATCCATGAGGGCTTTGGTGCCCTTGGCAAAAGCTTCCCATTCACATACCCTCCAGGTCCATCCATACAATCTGCTTGGCATGACCAACAGCCCAGCATACTTCTTGCTGCTCTCGGGACCACAGTCCAAGCCTGTCCACCCAGCAGGTATGCCAGAGGCCACAGTGGCTTGGCCAGTCTTGGCATTCTCATCAAACTTGTCGGCAGTGACAAAGTCAGCAGGCAAGGTAATCTTCACACCATTCTTCTCAGCTTTGGCCATCAGGTCTTTAACAGTCTTGGATCCCTCTTCATCAAACAGAAAAGTGTCAGTCTCCATGCTGTTGAGCCCTTTAAGAAAGGTACAAGCTATTCCACCACCAATAATCATCTCATTGACTTTGTCCAGCATATCACTGATCAATTGGATCTTATCTGCAACTTTAGCTCCACCCAAGATGGCCAGGAAAGTTCTCTCTGGGTTCCCCAAAGCCTTAGCAAAATAGTTCAGCTCCTTCTTCATCAAAAATCCACCAGCCTTCTGTGGCAGACTGATTCCCACCATGGAGCTGTGGGCTCGGTGTGCAGCGTCAAAAGCATATTGATGTAGACATCCCCTAGTTTGGAAAGTGAAGCTTGGAAAGCATCTATTTTGGCTGGCTCAGCTTTAAGCTTGTTCCCAGAAGCATCTTTTCCCCTGTACATGAAAAGCAGAGGTTCTCCAGCAGGATGACAGACCCAACTGATGGATCAGCACAGGCTTTCTCTACTTCTGGGCCCACACAGTCCTTCAAAAATAGAATATCCTTGCTCAGCAGAGACTTGAGTTCTACAGCAATGGCTGTAAGGAAAACTTGTCAGGCACTGGAACACCATCTGGCTGGCCCAGGTGGCTCATAAGGACAACTGATTTGGCTCCATTGTCCAAGCAGAATTTGATGCTTGGGACAGCAGCCTTGATTCTTTGGTTGTTGGTTACCTGGTTATTCTTCATAGGAACATTGAAATCCACTCTCATCACGACATGCTTCCCCTTCACTTCCAGCTTGTCCAGAGTCAGCTTGTTAGAAAGCAAAATTTTGGTAATAGAGCAGAAGCAAGAAGCCGGGGACTCAGAGGCTGTCGTTGTGTCTGTAGAGCACCGGAGATGCGTGCAGAATGTAGAACACCGCAAGGGCCGGGAGAAAGCTTTCACTGCTGGGTATTGACTTTGTATCTTGCTATGTTTCTGAATTTGGTGGTTAAATCTATAAGACTGTGGTGGAGTTTTTTGGATCATCTATGTAGCATATCATGTCATCTGCCAATAATCATAATTTCACTTCTTTTCAAATCCTTATCCTATTTCTCTCTCTTATCCAATTGTTGTGGCTAACATTTCTAGAGCTATCTTGATAAGAGTGGAGACAGTGGACATCCTTGTCTTGTTTCTGATTTTAAAGTGAAAGCCTTCAGCTTTTGTCCATTTAGTATGATGTTGGCTGTTGGTTTCTCATAGATGGCTTTTATCAGGTTGGGATATAGACCATCTATTCCAATTCTCTGATTCTCTGTGAGGTGCTTATCATGAATGAGTGTTGTCAAAATCTTTTTCTGCATCTACAGACGATGATGTAGTTGTTGTTCTTGGTACTATTGGCGCGGTGTATTACACTCATGGATTTGTGTATATTGAGCCAACCCTGCTTTTCTGGGAATGAATCCCACTTGATCATGATGTATAATCTTGATGATTTGCTGCATTCTGTTTGCTAGTATTTTATTGAGGGATTTTTCATCTATACTTAATAGAAAGATTGTCCTATAATTCTTTTTTAGTTGGGTATTTCTCAGGTTTTGATATCAGATTAACACTTGCCTCCAGGAATGAGTTTGGGAGAATTGCTTCCCTTTCAATTTCATTGAGGAGTTTTGAGAAAATTGGGGGTTAAATCTTCTCAAATTCTTGTGGAATTCTGCTGTGAATCCATCGAGACCTAGGCTTCTCTTTGTTGGTAGGTTTTTCATTGCATTTTTAATATTGTTTTTCATTATTGGGTTATTCAGAGTTTGTGTATCTTCTTGACTTAGTGTTGGCATTTCATATGTACCTAGGGAACTCCAATTTCTCTGTGTGTTTAATCCTGTGAGAGTACAGATTTTGCAAGTAGCTATTGGTGACCTTCTGAATTTCTCTAGGGTCTGTAGTGATGTCACCCTTTTCATTCTTTATTGCATGAATTTGGATTTTTTTTTCCTTTTTTAATTACATTGCCTAGTGGTTTATCAATTTTATTTATTCTTTCAAAGAGTCAACTCTTTGATTCATTTATTCCTTGTATTGTTTTCTTCATCTCCAAGGCATTAATTTCTGCTTTAGATTTCCTGCTTTCTTTGGGCTTTGGGCTTGACTTGCTCTTTTTTCACTAAGATCTTGATATATAGTATAAGATCATACATTTGTGCTTGTTCTGTTTTCATAATGTGTGAATTTGCTGGTATAAATTTTCCTCCTAAGACAGCTTTCATTGGATCCCACAGGTTTTGGTAATATGTATTCACATTTTCCTTTGATTGTAAATATTTTTTAAAATTTCTTCTTTTATTTCATCTGTGACCTACTGGTTGTTTAGGATGTTGTTATTTAATTTCCATGTATTTGTGGTGGGTTTTTTTTTTGTAGTTTCTTTTGTCAATAATTTCCAGTTTTATTGTGCTGTGATCATATAGTATGCATGTGATATTTTTCATTGATTTGTATTTACTTAAGAGTGCTCTGTGTGCTAGTATAAGATCTATTTTGAAGAATGTCCCATGTGCAGCTGAGAAGAATGTGTATTCTGTTGTGTCTGGATGAAACACTCTATAAAGGTCTACCAAGGATTTGACCCAAAGCCCAGGCCAGGTGTGTGAGTGAGACCATCCAGGACCTGCTAAATACACATTCGACACAGAGCCCAAGCCCAGCATGTGAATGAGACCACCTTGGGCCTGCCAGGTATGGATGGAAGCAATCACAGAAAACTTCTCAAATAATCTGACATTCAGGTAACTGAAGTGTACAGAACTCCAAATAACAACCCAATAAAAACACACCCAGACTTATAATAATCAAGATCCCAGAAATTCAGCACAGGAACAGTATACTAAAAGCTGCTAAAGAAAAGAAACAGATCACATTTAAAGGAAAACCCATCAGAATAATGGTAGATTTCTTTTCACAGACCATCAAGTCAAGAAGAGCATGGAGCAAAGTACTACAAGTCTTACAAGAAAACAATTTCCAACCCAGACTGATATACCATGCAAAACTCTCTTTCAAGTATAATGGAGTAGTGAAATACTTCCATGACAAAGAACAACTGAAAAATTTCATGACGACAAAGCCAAGCCCATACAGACTACTAAAAAATGTTCTAGAGAGGGAGCAAAGTGACCATAACTCCATGAGTGAGAATGGAAATAACCCCCCAAATAAGGCAAACAATTAAACACAGAGAATAAGAGGCATACAAAAGCAGTCTTTCAGTTATTCCTTTGTACACAGCAGCAAAATATTTCCATCGGCATACTCTCCAAATGAACTTCTCCTGCACCCTATGGGTCATGATTCTATCTGGGTCTACAATGTGGATATCAGGAAACAGCAGTAGCCCAGTCCCACAAGTGACACAGTCCCACAAGTGACACCTGGCCACTAGAAAGCATCATGGTCATTATTCATGTCCACAACACACTAGAACTTTGTGCGATAGCCTGTCCCCAAACTGTTAGAAGTGCTGGTCATTTATTTGACATTCCAGTATTTATCTTATGTTTTATTCTTAGCAATTTTTTACTATCATGAAAACTTTTTCTTATTTCAATTGTTTTAAAACATTTAATTTTTAATTGATTAGTATTTAATTTTCTGAATATTGCTTAATCTTAATTTTTAAGATTCATACTGTATCTTTTGACTTACAATAACATGGCATGATATTTTCTCCTAGTATGAGAAACTTTAAAAAGTATATTTCCATTTTCCATTGATTTTATATTATTTCTTCCTTATCTTTTTATACAGACACACACAAATACACACACATATATATATACATAAAAAACGTTTATAACCCTACATAAGATTGATACTATTTTGTAGAAATCTTTAATGACCTTTTAAATGGGTTCATCTAATATATTTTATGTAGCCTGCATAACTATCATTTTGAGAGCTCTTTATTCTTTATCCAGGACCATACAGTAACTTTTCATGCCTTCTGAATTATGCTCTTTGTCATTTCCTCTAGGCTATGTCTGGAGGTATTAGAATATTTCAAGCTGGTATAATTTGAAAATATTTTACTTTTAGTTTTCAAAGGTATGTTTGCTAAGTATAAGATTGAAAGAGGAAAGATTTTTTTTTCTTTCAGTCCTTTAATTAGTCTAGTTTCTTACACAGTTGGTCTTTTTTTTTTCTTTCTAATGTGGAATAAGATACTATTTAATTTTGTTCTTCCATAGCTAATATTTTTATGTGTATGCTTTAATCACTTTTTTCTTTACAATAAGCTTTGGATAATTTCATTTTTGTGTATCTTGGTATGATTTTATTCAAATTTCTTGTGCAAAAGGTTCATTTTTCTTGGAAATGTGGTGTTATAAGTTCAACTAAATTCAGAAATTTTATATCTTTAAATATTTATTGTTTACCCTTTTCTACTTTGAGAATTCTAATTATATGAATATAATTTTCTTGATTTTGACAGAGTGAACTATTATATAACTGCTCTGTAAATTCTTTCTTCTTCATTTTTATTGTTATATTCATTTAAGAATTTAATAACTTATTTACAGTGTGTAATCTATTATTAATCTCATTTCAGAAATACTTCTCTAGAATATACTGTGTTTGCATCTTATATCTTTCACATTTTAATATTTGTCTACAATTTTTAATATGATATGTAATTACTGATTTTCAATAACGTGAATGAAAAAAGAGGCCTACCAAGTCAATTTCTTCCCAAGTTTGGTTTAGTTCTGTTATTTCTTTCCTGATTTTTTGCCTACTTCATCTATCTCTTTGTGACAGTGGCATGTTAAAGCCCTCCATTAGCATTACTATTGTATTGTTTCCCATTTGATTTTCATGTCTGTTAAAATGTGTCTTATGTAGGAGGGTGGTCCTACATTGGTTGCAAATATATTTATTTTTGCTATCTCTTCCTCTTGCAGTTGTCCTTTAATAACTATGTAGTGACATTCTTTATCTCTTTGAATGACTTTTGATTTGAAGTTGGTATTGTCAGCAACCAGGACAGCACCCCTGTTTTTTTCTGATTTCCTGTGGCATGAAGCACTGTTTTCCATCCTTTGACTTTTAGTCTGTGAATTTCCTTTTGAGTTAAGTGTGTTTCTTGTACGCAGCTTATCGTTGGATTTTGTTTCTTAATACACTCTGCTAGTCTGTTTCTTTTGGTTGGTGAATTGAGGCCATTTACATTGATGGTTATAATTGATATATATTGGCTTATCTTTGTCATGTTATTTTCCTGTTGCAGGTTGTGTAATTTTTCTCTCTTTTCAGTTACTTGCTCTGTTTGGTGGTTCCTTTCTGTTGTTCTTGAAGATATGAACACTTCTGCCTCTTTCTAGAATATCTGCCAGTACTCTTTGTAGGGTTGGTTTGGTGGTCATGAATTTCTTCAATAGTTCTTTGTCATGGAAGGATCTTATTTTACCATTGAATTTGATAGGTAGTTTTTCAGTGTATGTAAATCTGGGTTGAAAGTTATTTTCTTGCAGGACCTGAAATACTTCACTCCAAACTCTTCTTGATTTGATAGTTTGTGTTGAGCAATCTGCCATGATTCTGATGGGCTTTCTATTGTAGATGATCTGTTTCTTCTCTGTAGCAGCTTTTAATATTCTATTCTTTTGCTGAATTTCTGAGATTGTGATTAGTATGCGTCTAGGTATAGATTTATTATGATTATGGCTATGTGGAGTTCTATATGCTTCTCTTGTCTGTATGTCAGGTTTTTGTCTCATGTTGGAAAATTTTCTGCCAGTACTTCTGCAAATAATCTTTTTATGTAATTTGTTCTGTCTCCTGCTGTTTCATTGGCATCTATTATTCCTGTATTATTTTTCTTTGCATTCTCATGTAGCTGCTGAATTGTTGTTTCCTGGTTACTTGTTAGTTTTAAGAGATCTTTTATTTCACATTCATTAGCTGCAACACTGTCTTCAAGGTCTGAAAGTCTATTTTCAGTTTCATTTTTAAAAAGTGGTTTTTTCAGCTTTCAATGGAGT